ATTCACTATCCTTTCTCACTGGTTACTCCGTGGAGATCCCTTTCCTATGAAAATCGAGCTCAACCAGAGCCACGTAATCAAAATTCATCATTAAAACATTCATGACCAACCTGAAGACCGAATTTGGTACTTGGCATAGCCGTTGCCTGGTGACGAGGTGCCAGGACTAATGGCTGGAGCGCTCATTAGCGCCTTCCACTGAACCTTAGCCTGTTAGAAGGAAAAGGAAATTCATGCAGTAATACTCAAAAGGACACAAAACATTGTGAGGAAAGGTACTACAAAGTAAGAAATACAGTATGGCGTTAGCTACCATTGAGTCAAATTAAAAACACTTTCTCTTCAAATATTTATCCCAGTTCTACTTGATATAGTAAGAGTCAATGGAGTTTCTGATTTCCGGCCGTCCTTCATGGATTCACTGAGAGAGCATCACTCGAGGTGCTCTGAAATAAAACGATATTACTACGAAAAACAAAAGTTAGTGTAAGGGTAAAACCCTCGTTTTCTGTCAATTAATACGTCTGAAGCTTCAAACGAAGTTTTTTTGCCAACAGGAGAACAACCCGACGGAATCAGCCTTTTTAAAGAGAATCTAGGGTAAATAAAGTGTATGGGAAGGAAGGGGGTTCACACACGAGTGCGATTGCAAACTCTCAAGCTTCCCATTAAATCAGACTCAGACGATAAAAATCAACAGAGAAGTACTTTAATGGGTCTGGATTCCATTGGGAATTGATGCATTGTATATCAATCGAAGGAATGAAATCTTTTCCTTCAGGGCCCTAAGACCCCTTAAGATGTCATTCGTAACCCATTAACAAAAAGAAACTCACGCAGGAAATTTGAAGTGTTTCTCAAGTTTCTGCCAATCCTTGTAGTAATCACGATCAACATTTTCATGCTTGGCCTTCTCTGTGATCACCATGTTCAGCGAACTTTCGAACATGAACGACTAAAATATGAGAGAAAGTGAAATTCTCCAATGGACTCAGTGTTGATGCGAAAATTATTTGTACTTGTAAGTTAGGGGGAATAGTCTCTTTTTTGAGATTCATTGAGCGACCATTGCTATCCGGAATCCACAAAATGACAAGATATGGGATCTGTTCTCTTAGCCAAAAAGTTGGAGCGTTTAGAAATGATGTACCCATCAGAATAGAACAACAAATATAATCACCAAATAAATCAGTAAAAAATCAAATTAGTAAATTTTTGGCAGTTTTCTAAGATGATCACTGATATCATACCATATTTATTTTTTTGAATTCACTCCTCCAGTAAATTAGGGGGACGGGCGTTAGGAACGATTTTGGGTTCGCCGCACGCGGCTGTCGCGGACCACTCGTTCGTCGTTTTTACAGCTCTAGCGTTCTTCATACAGCTCAATCGATACGCGATCATTATTTTATGCAT